TTATTAAAAGTCTGGCCAGGTGCAACAACTCACACTTGTAATCCCACTGCTTTGGGCGGTGGAGGTGGGTGGATCACTTCAGGCCAAGAGTTAGAGATCAGCCTGGGCAACATGGCAAGATCCCATTTCTACAAAAAATTTAAAAATCTGCGAGGTGAGGCCAGGTGCGGTGGCTCACGCCTGTAATCCCAGCACTTTGGGAGGCGGAGGCGGGTGGATTGGTTGAGCTCAGGAATTCGAGACCAGCCTGGCCAACATGGTGAAACCTTGTTTCTAAAAAAATATAAAAATTACCCAAGCATGGTGGTGCATGCCTGTGGTCCCAACTACTCGGGAGGCCAAGGCAGGAGAATTGCTTGAGCCTAGGAGGTAGAGGTTGCAGTGAGTGAGCCAAGATTGCACCACCGCACTCTAGTCTGGGTGACAGAGTGAGACCCTACCTCTCAAAAAAAAAAAAAAAAATATTAGCCAGGTGTGGTGGTGCACACCTGTAGTTCCGGCTACTCAGGAGGCTGAGGAAGGAGGATCACTTGAGCTCAGGAGGCTGAAGCTGCAGTGAGCCATGATCGTGCCATTGTACTCCAGCCTGGGTGACAGAACAAGACCTTGTCTCAAAAAACATAACAAAACAATCTTTTGGGGCCAACACAGCCATAGTTTCCCAGTTCTTTATTTCCATTTAGGGGTGTGTGTGTTGGGGGTAGGAGAGGTTACAGAAATTGAGGCTACACACAATTTATGGCCCACCCCAGAAAAGTATGCCACCTGAACAGCTCTAGGCTACACATGCCTGACTTCGGCTCTTTGCATTTGCCCATTACAAATGGGACATGTTTTGAAAACAGCCCAAGATGGTGGAGTTTTGGAGAATCTAACTTCGGACCTCATATTTAATCAAGGGCCAAATAAAAAGACAATGTGAACTCTTGGGGCCCTCCCTCCTCTAGCAAGGCCTTTTGATCTTGAGGTGTATGTGGGAACCACACAGGATGGTGGGGCCTGAGTGGGTAGAGCCTGAAGGGGCTGCTCCCCACTCTGGGCCTCCAGTGCCCTCAAGTGATGGCTAAGTTCTAGGGAAGGGAGGTCCCTGCATGGAGCCTCTCCACCATTTGTATCTGGGTAGCTGCCCTTTACAGGGGCACAAGATGTTAACCAAGTGGCTTCAAACCCCACTCCTGCAAATTGCTTTATGATCTCCTCTTGGGGGTACAGCCAACATCCCCTTCCTGTCCCCAGAATACACTGAACTAACACTGTACTCTCAAGAAATTTAGTTCTGAAGGCAACAGAGATAACAGGTGAATAGTAAGGAAAAGTTAGAAACGAATTGGAATTTATTTGAATCTTTGATTTCTGGCTGGGCGTGGTAGCTCACGCCTGTAATCCCAGCTACTTTGGGAGGCCACGGCAGGAGAATCGCTTGAACCTGGGAGGCACAGGTTGCAGTGAACCTCTGCACTCCACTGCACTCCAGCCTGGGATAAGAGTGAAACTCCGTCTCAAAAAAAAAAAAACAACTTTGATTTCTTTTTTAATTCTTATAATTGTTATGGGAGTTTCTGGTGAGAATATCAGATCACAGGAGCATAAAACTAGATTTTTAAAAAATCAAACCTTCTATTACTTGATATTTCTTTTCTTTCTGTTTTTTGTTGTTTGTTTGAGACGGTCTTACTGTTGCCCAAGCTGGAGTACATTAGTGCGATCATGGCTCACTGCATCACACTGCAGCCTCAGCTTCCTAGGCTCAAGTAATCCTCCCACCCCAGCCTCCAGAGTAGCCGAGACTACAGGCATGCACCACCACATCTGGCTAATTTTTTCACTTTTTTGTAAAGACGGGGTCTCACTGTGTTGCTCAGGCTGGTCTCGAACTCCTAGACTCAAATGATCCTTCCATCTCAGCCTCCCAAAGTGTTGGGATTACAGGCGTGAGCCATCACGCCCAGCCAGTGCCTACACTGTTCTAAGGGTTGAGAATATAGCAGTGGAAAAAACAGATTAAAACATTCCTATTCTTATGGAGCTTACAGTAATGGAGCTTACAACTCAGGTGAAAAAAATGATAGTATATCTAATATTGTAGAAGTGAATAATAGTGTAATTCATTTAGATAAACACAATTTCAAAAAAGGTGGTGCTATAAAGCTATGAAAAAAAGGGAATGCTTTTAAACAAAGAAGGCAATCAGATAAAATGGAAAATAATGTATATCTGAAGGTGCTTTGATAATTTACTGTTTAAAAATGTGGCCTGGTGAGGTTGCTTACACCTGTAATTCCAGCACTTTGGGACACCGAGGCCAGTGTACTGCTTGAAGCCAGAGGTTTGAGACCAGCCTGGTTAACACAATGAGACCTCATCTCTACAACACATTAAAAAAATCAGCCAGACATGGTGGCAGGCACCTGTAGTCCCAGCTACACCGGAGGCTGGGGCAGGCAGTAGGATCATTTGAGCCCAGGAGTTTAAGGCTGCAATGAGCTATGATTGCACCACTGCCCTCCAGCCTGGACAACAGAGTGAGACCCTGTCTCTGTAAAAAACAAAAAAATTAAAAAATTCCTCCTCTGATTTTCTCATAAAATTGGACAGCTTGGCAGTTCATGAAGAAACATGAAAGCCCAGAAAACACAATACAAATTTATGAGAATAACTCTTTCCTCCCCAGAGGGGGTAGAGTCAAAAGAAGCCTCATAAAATACCTTCTCCATCACAGCACTAGGGGGCGGTGGGAAATAAGCACAGGACAGTGAAGGAAGTGTGAAGCAGGGAGGCCCAGTAGGAAGACAGGGCAGAGGGTAGAAGGGGGCAATCCAGTGCAAAAAAAAAAGAGCATCAGACACTATTCCCTTTAATGCTCCACCGGAGAATCCCCTACGTATTTCAGTCAATGCATCTCATTACATGTTATTATCCGGTGACTATTACACAACTTGATTATGAGCTATCTGAGGACTGGAATTCTCTCGTTCATTTTTGAATTCCCAGAATGTAGCAGAGTCCTTGGTGCATAATGAGCAGCTCAATAAAGATTTGCAGAAAAACAGAATAAAATGCTCACAACAACACGAACACTTAAGAGACCACCAAACTGTGTGCCAGGCATTGTTTTACCTGCTTGACCTGTGGTAATTTATTTAAAAAATGAGAAGAAGGGCTGGGCATGGTGGCTCACGCCTGTAGTCCCAGCACTTTGGGAGGCCGAAGTGGGCTGATCACGAGGTCAGGAGTTCAAGACCAGTCTGGCCAACATGGTGAAACCCCATCTCTACCAAAAATACAAAAAGTAGTCGGGTGTGATGGCGGGCGCCTGTAATTCTAGCTACTTGGGAGGCTGAGGCAGGAGAATGGCTTGAGCCCGGGAGGCAGAGGTTGCAGTGAGCCGAGATCAAGCCACTGCTCTCCATTGCACTCTAGCCTGGGGGACAGGGTGAGACTCCGTCTCAAAAATAAATAAATAAATAAAAAATAAAGAGGAACGACTGCTGAGGAGAGAAAAGGTAGGTGGAGATTGTTTCTGTAATTCGACCAAGGTGTAGCACAAGTTGCCAGGCACGCGCATCTACCATGAAGCAGGCACTGAAGAAACCGGACGTTATTAACACTGGGTTGTGGCAGTGATTGTTACCCTGGCGGGAGAGCAAAGCAGGGAAATACCCCAATCTAGTCCAGCCGAGTGGGCCAAGTCTAACAGCAGCAGACTTTGAGTTTAATGCCTATATTAAGCACGGACGGTGTGCTTAATTCTGTGAGGGTAGGAGGAGGTTCAGAGAAGTCTTCGAAGGGGCGGAGCCACAGGGAGCGCGGCATTGTTATTTCCACTTCACGGCTTTGAAAGGTGATTTTTTTTTTTTTTTCAGACGAAGTCTTGCACTGTAGGCCAGGCTGGAGTGCAGTGGGCGAGATCTTGGCTCACCGCAAACTCCGCCTCCCGGGTGTAAGCGATTCTCGTGCCTCACCCTCCCAAGTAGCTGGGATCTGAGGCGCGCACGACCACACTCGGCTAATTTCTGTATTTTTAGTAGAGACGGGGTTTCACCACGTTGGCCAAGCTGGTCTCGAACTTCTGACCTCAGGTGATCCGCCCGCCTCGGCCTCCCAAAGTGGTGGGATTACAGGCGTGAGCCACTGCGTCCAGCCAAGGTAGGTGATTTGAGAGGTGACGCCACTGCAGGAGGCTTAACTCAGAAACAGTGATCCAGAAAACTTGGCCACCAGAGTTTACCAGGCTCCTCCAGTGAACACTTGACTCAATCAGGCCGAGGGATCAACTATCTATCCCACTTAAAAAATACTCCCAGGGGCCGGGCGCGGTGGCTCACGCTTCTAATCCCAGCACTTTGGGAGGCCGAGGAGGGATCAGCTGAGGTCAGGAGTTCGCGACCAGCCTGGCCAACATGGTGCAACCCCGTTTCTACTAAAAATACAAAAATTAGCTGGGCGTGGTGGCGGGCTCCTGTAATCCCAGCTATTCAAGAGGCTAAGGCAGGAGAATCGCTTGAACTCGGGAGGTGGAGGTTGGAGTGACCCGAGATCGCGCCACTGCACACCAGCCTGGGTGACAGAGGGAGCCTCTGTCTCAAAAACAAACAAACAAACGAACAAAACCAACCGCGAACACTGAAGCTATCAATAAAGTTTTTCTCTTTAGCGCTCCATACTAGCCACAGCGCGCATGCTCAAGCTCACGTGGCACGCTCGGGCGGCCTGTCCCACTTCCCTTGCGCCGTCCCCGCACAGATCCAGGCTCTTGCAGTGCGCATGCACCTACCGTATCGTTATCAACGTCTCCAAGGCAGATAGCGTGCGGGAAGAGGCTCCCGCTGAACTCCAGCGCCACGCGCTGCACGTAGCTAACCGATCTCATGGCACCTCCAAGAGCAGAGGGAGCGGGGAGCCCCAATAAATGGTCCCTGAACCCCCGTCGCGACAGCCGCCAGAGCGGAAGGCCACCTAAAGCAGCAAGTTACGTCACTGCCTGAGCCTCCAATCTCTGCCTTCCTCCTTTAACCTCAGAGAGGAGGCGGGTCTTCCGGGCTTGGAGGCGGGCTTACCACCTCTGATGTGAGTGACAGGCCCACGGGCCACTCCTTTTCTCCACAGGGCTGCAGCCCATGGGTAAACCAACCCTGACGTGGCCGATCTGTTCCCTTGGCAACAGGGCTCTCAAGGGCTTGACCTAGTAACCTTGACCTTTTTCCTTTGTTTCCCTGGCAATGAAAATTCCTAGCCATCAGACCATTCCTGAGAATCTTACTAATCTTCGTAATAACTGGTAATTGCATGGTTTTGAAAAGTTGTTTTTTAAAAGCTAGCTACCCATTAAGAGTGAAAACAATATAGTGAGTTGCAGTCAGCATATAAAAAATTAAATACAATAGAATATATCAAGTGACTCCCAAGTAGTAAGATAAGTATAGTTTTTGTGAAACCCTTGTTTCAATTGTATACACAATTATATGTATATACTGGCTTATAATGTAAAAAAAATGTTTTTTTTTTTGTTTTTTTTTTTTTTTTTTTACAGTGTATGTGTTTTCTGGTCCATAGTTTAAAAGCCACCTGCTGCAAAGCACATTTCACATATTTCACATAATTAGTTCAGCCACTAGGTGAGCTTGTATTTTTTTTTTTTTTGGTAGAGGAAAACAGGTTCAGCAAGATTAAGTAAAATGGCAGAAGGAAGGACTGTGGGGCGGGGTGCGTGCTCCAACCAGAATTGTTTGATCCCAACCCTAGGGCTTCTCCATCATTTGCTATCATAGTTCCTAGGAAAGTTTTCAGACTGGAAGTGACAGTTGCCTGGATTCTGGATCTGCTCTGTCTTGTGGTCTCCCAGCACAAAGCTCTTGCATCTCACCCTCAGGGGCCTTACTCTTCTAGCACAGATGGGACTGTCACTCTCATGGCTGGCTTCTTGGGATTCTTTCTTTCCATGTTGAATCCAGTTCTGTCTTTCTTTGGGGTGCCTCATCAATCAGGGCAATATTTATGAAATCATACAGGTGTTCAATACATTTTTAGATTTAGGTCTGTAAACCCAGGCTGACTCACACTTGGTGTTTAAAAAAAAATGATATCTGCCTTATCTGGGAATTTGGACCAGGAGCTGTTCCTTTTTTTTTTTCTTTCTTTTTTTTTTTTTTTTTTGAGAGTCTTGCTCTGTCACCCAGGCTGGAGTGCAGTGGTGTGATCTGGGCTCATTGCAACCTCCACCTCCCAGGCTCAAGAGATTCTTGTGTCTCAGCCTCCTGAGTAGGAGTAGGTAGGATTACAGGTGTAAACCACCATGCCCAGCTTGTCGCTACTTTCTATGTCTGTACATGGTGGGAGGATGCTGGAGGGCAAGGCCTTTTTTTGGGGGAAGCGGGTGGCATATTTTTTTCCTAGATGTCCCAGTGGATCTGACAGCCAGATAAGGTAAGAAAGAACAGCAGGTCAGAACAGTAAACTGGAAGAAGTCTGGTCAAATGCTGGAGACTGCAGATATATTCTGAGGCTGATAAGGTAAGAAAGAACAGCAGGTCAGAACAGTGAACTGGAGGAAGTCTGGACAAATGCTGGAGACTGAGACGTTTTCTGAGGCCGAACTGTGTTACAAGCTCATATTTCTGACTGTGTACTGTGGGATGGCCAGGTCCATTAAAAGGCACTGGGTCCCACAGGTATTCCTGGTGCTCTGAGTACATGTTCTCATTTACAGAGCAGGTGCATGCTCCCTCACCCCGTGTTCTACCCCATCTCTATTCTCTCATCCGAGTTCAAACCCTGAGCTTCATATTAGGTTTTAAGGGGTGGGCAAACCAAAACCAGTATCAAAATGTTCACCTCTAGGTTGGCTGTGGAGGCTCATGCCTGTAATTCCAGCACTTTTGGAGGCTGAGGCAGGCAGATCGCTTGAGCTCAGGAGTTTAAGACCAGCCTGGACAACATGGCAAAACCGTGACTCCACCAAAAATACAAAAATTAGCTGGGCATGATGGTGCACGCCTGTGGTCCCAGCTACTCAGGAGGCTGAGGCAGGAAGATCTCCTGAGCCCAAGAGGCAGAGGCTGCAGTGAGCCAAGATGGTACCACTGCACTCCAGGCTGGGTAACAGTGAGACTCTGTCTCAAAAAAAAAAAAAAAGTTTACCTCTAAAGTGGTTTTAAAAGAAATATATTACTAAATAACTCAGAACAAGAGATGAGATCACCCAGCTTCTGTCATCAGGTGCCTTAGCCTGACCCAGCTATCTAAGATCAGACCCCAACTCAGGATTCCCCAATGCCTTAGTTTTATCTTCCTCATCATTTGGGTTTCTTGGTCTGGATCTTTCTGTGATACGGGGTGTCTGTTTTTAATTGTAGAGTATGTTTGCCGTGAAGGTCATGTAATTATGATCACAACTTGTTTTTTACTTTTTTGAGACAATTTCACTCTTCTTGCCCAGGTTGGAGTGCAATGGCGCAATCTTGGCTCACTGCAACCTCCGCCTCCCGGGTTCAAGTGATTCTCCTGTCTCAGCCTCCCGAGTAGCTGGGATTACAGGTGTCCACGACTACATCTAATTTTTTTTTGTAGTAGAGACGGGGTTTCACCATGTTGGCCGGGCTGGTCTTGAACTCCTGACCTCAGGTGATCAAAGTGCTCGGCCTCCCGCCTCAGCCTCCCAAAGTGCTGGGATTACAGGTATGAGCCACCGTTCCCAGCTTTATGATCACAACTTCTATACCATGCTTTTTGGCTTCTGTCAAGAGAGCCAAATAAAGTTAGAAAGGCAGAAAAGATAGGTCTCCAAGAAATAGGGCACAAATTAAGTCTTTCCATGCCTGGGCCTCTCCCCACCTTGCGTCGGTTACTTTAAGTACAGTGAGTGTTTTTTGTGACTAGGCATTGCAAAGCCATATGGACAGATCCCTGGCTCCACAAAGAGCACTCCTGGTCTTGACCCCTTTCTAGTTGGATGGTTGCTAGGTCTCTTTGGGCACCATCTAAAACTCCATCTTGTCTAAGCCAAGCACTCTTTCTGCTGGCTTTTATCTTACTCCCCAGAACTGTCTACTTAGGGTATCTTCCTGGTTAGGTGACATGGATACAGTTGTATGGGTGGCATATTCTTTACAAACAATAGACATCTCCATAGGACGGGATCGGGGGGATTAAATGGGAAGCATATCTAGGAAGATTGTCTACTTCATCCTCCAACAGTAGACAGAGTGGTTTCTGTTTGCCCAGGGTGCCCAGGTAAGACAGGGTCTCCAAAGATCTTTCAAAACATGAGGCCCAGAGCCTCACCACCTTGGGGGCAGGGCCTAGGGCTTCTTAATGGGCTCCGTGTGGCTTATATCACCATTTCCCCCTCCCCTCTCTCATTCATGGTACACCTTAGCATATTAAAGTGTCGGAAAGGTATGTTTTTTGACCTAGAAACTGGGCAGAGTAGTGTGGGACAGCTCTGCACTGAGTGAAATGCTGTTATTCAGAGCTCTACTTAGTTTCACTGCCTTCCTCAAGTTTGCCCCGATTAAAATGCACCACAAACTCTGGGAAGCTTTGATCCTAGAACTCACTCATCAGGGTTGTCTGCTCAAGACTGCTGATGGATGAGAAGTTCACTGTCACTGTGTCACTTAAACACTGGGAGATAGGGTTAAAACACAAAGAATGAGGAAGACGTTTTGGAACTAGGTAACACTGTAAAGACTAAATGCCACCAAACTTGAATTTAAAATGGTTAACTTTGTTTCACCTAAAAATGTGAATTTCACCTAAAAATATACAAATCAGTTTATGTCTGATGCACTTCTAAAACAGGAGACTGAAGATCCTATGGAATATGGAATATACATGCTGATCCTCTCTTCTAGCCAAAGGACCCTCGACATTCACAAAGGCATTGCTTTTTCTTGATCATCCCTGAGACCATTCACTCTCACTTTGTGTCTCAAATTGGTATAGCGTGCCAGGGCGCAGTGGCTCATGCCTGTCATCCCAGCACTTTGGGAGGCCAAGGTGGGTGGATCACCTGAGGTCAGGAGTTCAAGACTAGCCTGATCAATATGGTGAAACCCTGTCTCTGCTAAAAAAAACAAAAATTAGCCAAGCATGGTGGTGTGCACCTGTGGTCCCAGCGACTTGGGAGGCTGAGACAGAATTGCTTGAACCCGGGATGTGGAGGTTCCAGTGAGCCGAGATTGCGCCACTGCACTCCAGCCTGGGGGAACAGAGCAAGACTCCGCCTCAAAAAAAAAAAAAAAAAAAAAAAATTAAAACATTGGTATAGTGTCATTTAACAGGATAACAGGATAAATTAATGTTTTTATTATTCCTAGGTTTTCTAACGGGGGATAGTTAATGCATCCACATTATCTGAGGTTGGCAAACAACTGGGGAACTGTAGCCATAAGGTAGCAATAACGAATTCCAGAAAGAGAATGAATTTTCCTTACTTACAATGTCCAGACTTGTACATTGGTTTTATTCAGCACTGCCCTTAGTGCACTATCATTTCAACTTGTTGTAAGGTTCTGAGGTGTTTTGCATTTGGAAAGGGAAAATTAGTCACTGAGACATAACAGGAATAAGGTATGAGAAGTTCTGGTTTCTAACTTTTTTTTTCCAGTAATGACATTTTCTAAAAAGATACTACACTTTAGGCTGGGTGTGGTGGCTCACGCCTGTAATCCCAGCACTTTGGGAGGCCAAGGTGGGCGGATCACAAGGTCAGGAGATTGAGACCATCCTGGCTAACATGGTGAAACCCCGTCTCTACTAAAAATACAAAAAAATTAGCCGGGTGTGGTGGCTGGCGCCTGTAGTCCCAGCTACTCGGGAGGCTGAGGCAGGAGAATGGTGTGAACCCGGGAGGCGGAGCTTGCAGTGAGCCGAGATCACGCCACTGTACTCCAGTCTGGGCGACAGAGAGACTCCATCTCAAAAAAAAAAAAAAAAAAAAGATACTACACTTTACTCGTCCTGCATAAAGTGCCTTTCACGTATTTTTTCTCCAGTGGAAATGGAATACAGTTCTCCATTCACCCTCAGGGTGGCAAAGCTGGTATAGAGGGCAAGTGTTAAGTGCACTTTGCCAAGTCTTGTAGGGTTTTGTGGGCCATGATAAGGATTCTTTAGCCTAAATGGGATGGGAAATCATCGAAAGTGATTGAAGTACTCGGAGGGACACGATTTGGATGCAGTACAGAGTGAACTGCAGGTGCAGGAGGGAATCCAAGATAGGAGCCTTTTGCAGGAGAGCAGGCTGGAGTGCATGGTGATGGGAGGGAGTGATACTAGTGTGGAGGGAGGAGAAATACTTGGGAGATAAAAATGCATAGAACTCGATGTTAGAACCAGCACTAGGACAAGATAAATTCTATTTTAATTTTTCCTAGAGACCACTTGCAAAGCTTGTTAACAGCTCACAGTATTGCTTGCTACTAGCTTTTCTTTATTTGGGCACATTTCTCTGCATATAGAAAGATTTAAGTGTTGGTAGGAAGGGACAACTGACTGGGAAATGAACTTGTAGCACTGACCCAGGGCAGACTTGAGTATGTGGTACTATTATTTTTAGGCTTAGACTTGTAGGCATTTTAACAAAACATCCTCACTAGACAGTTTTAATGTTACATAAACTAAGACTTATCTCTAAACGTTCCACAGTTAAATGCAGTTTTACATTCTTGGAATCCTACAGGATGCAGAGCTAGAAGAAACCTTAGGAATGCTTTCAACTTTTGCAGATGAGGAAAGAAGCTCAAGACTTGCCCACAGCCAAATGAACCTCATGGGAGAGTCTGGATTAGTTCAGAGACCTCCCATTTCAGGCATACCTTTCCATTTAACTTCTGAGTCTTGGTTTTCTTATCTGTAAGTAGGGTTATTAGAGTTATACCTTCCTTGTAGGATGGTTGCAAGGATTAAGTTAACTCATGTGATGCTGTCAGTACAGTGCTAGTAGCTTACCCCATAAATGCTTAATGAGTTAGTGATGATTGTTGGCTGCAGGGGTAAGAATCTACTACTTTTGAAATACCAAGAGGACCCAGACACAAACCACAAACACAGGGCTGTGATATGCAGTGAGCCCAGTAAGAGAGTAGTTACACTGGGACTTTTTTTTTTCCTGAGACGGAGTCTCACTCTGTCACCCAGTCTGGAGTGCAGTGGCCGGATCTCAGCTCACTGCAAGCTCCACCTCCTGGGTTTACGCCATTCTCCTGCCCCAGCCTCCCGAGTAGCTGGGACTACAGGTGCCCGCCACCTCGCCCGGCTAGTTTTTTGTTTTTTTAGTAGAGAGGGGGTTTCACCACGTTAGCCAGGATGGTCTCAATCTCCTGACCTCGTGATCCGCCCGTCTCAGCCGCCCAAAGTGCTGGGATTACAGGCTTGAGCCACCGCGCCCGGCCTACACTGGGACTTTTTTTAAAAAGAGGGTCTCACTTTCTTGCCCAGCCTGGCATGCAGTGGCACAGTCACAGCTCTCTGCATCCTTGGTGTCTTGGGCTCAAGGGATACTCACACCGGGAGACTTGCACACCCCAATTTTCATCCTGGCTCCAGCATCAGCCATTTTGTATGACTTGGTGAAAATTTTCACACAGAAATCAATCTTCCACCATTATAAATTTCTTCTGGAAGGAACTATACAGGCATGTGGCTAAGCAGACAACCACATCACTGTTGGGAAAGGACTGGAGAGCCCACAGTAGGAGAGGGATGAGGGCAGACACGGGCTCTGACCTGGAGCCAGGATCATCTGGAGGCAGCTCAGCATGACTGGCTTGTGCTGCCTGGCTTCTCCCAGGGCCCCATCATGCCATAGGAGTTAAGGGTCAAAGCATAGTTAGAAGAAAAGCACAAGCCGTTTCCTGTTAAGGCTGGGAAGGAAGCTGGGCATGACCACTCTTTACTCTCGACCTTAATCATGTAAAAGTTATCTGACGAGGCCGGGCGCGGTGGCTCAAGCCTGTAATCCCAGCACTTTGGGAGGCCGAGACGGGCGGATCACAAGGTCAGGAGATCGAGACCACAGTGAAACCCCGTCTCTACTAAAAACAAAAATTAGCCGGGGCGGGGGGGCGCGTAGTCCTAGCTATCAGGAGGCTGAGGCAGGAGAATGGCGTGAACCAGGAGGCGGATCTTGCAGTGAGCCGAGATCGGCCACTGCCTCCAGCCTGGCAACAGCGTGAGACTCCGTCTCAAAAAAAAAAAAAAAAAAAAAAAAAAAAGTTATCTGACGGAGGTTAGTGACACCAGGAGTTTTACCTTGTTAAGAAACCAAAATGCACAGATACCTCTGCCAGATCAGAGGTAGGCAGAAGACCAATTCCAACTTCAAAATGCACATGCATGGTGTTCCAGTCTTCTAGATCTTGATACTTTCCTCTTCCTAAGCGTCAGGGAAGAAAACCAGAGGCACTAAAAACTGCCAGGTTGCTGGAGGGAGGGAGTGCATAGACTCAAGTCCCAGCTGCAGCCTGTGCAGTGCTCAGGAAGCCCTGCATCGTGGGGCTGCTTCCTGCCCAACTACAGTGTCTACTTGAGATGCTGCACTTATTTAAGCTCCACTGGGACTAAGTGGGTGACCCCTTAATTTTGCCACTACCCATTATGTACCCACCCATACCCACCCCTCCAAGGCTGAACAAAAAGGGTTGTCTGACACCCAGGTTTTATTGTTTCCACTTTATTGCTCAAGCACGGAACTTGAGGCAAGCCTGGACCTTCAGCAACGTGCGGAAAAGAGGCTGAGGGGATTTCGGGACACAACCTGGCTGAGAGGGGAAACTGACAGGGGAAATACCAGAACAGGGAACAAGGGGTGGTCACCATCACACCAGAAGACATCAGCCACACCGTTGGGGGTGAGGAAGGGAACAGAGAAGAAATGGCATAGCAGTGGTTTTTCCCATGTCCCTAGCACCCACATGGAGGCCACGTTTGGAAATGGACTGGGAGAGGGAAAGGATGAGGAAAACGGCTGCCCAGGAGTCTCCCTCTCCACCCTGGGTTCATATCAGACCCCATCCCTACCACTTGCCTCTTCTACCCTTGGAAAATGGACCTAACAGAGGGAGCAAAATAAATTAACATTCTGATGAATATGTATGGATGGACATATGTTCATGTGCAAAGGGGGAAGGGAAGAGGGGGTGACACCAGCTAAAATGATTCCCCACCTCAATCCCCCAGCCTACTCCTTTCCCCCTTCCCCCTAAAGCCACCATCCAACCAGATAGAAAAATAAAGGTCTAATTCACTCAAAATTCTTCAGTTTTTACAAAACTAACAGGGTGGAGGGGGGAGACTGGGGGCAGGCAGCCGCAGGAGTAGGGCTGGTGGAGAGGGGCTATGCTTCTGTCTCCGCCTGAGACTGGCTCCCTGCCGTGTTGCTCTTCTGCTCCTCCTTCATCTCTGTGTCAGTGGGGTGGTCTCCTGAGGAGGCCTCTGCCTTGGCCTGCAAGGAAGAGGAACAGCAAAGAGGCTGACATCACAAGTGAAAAAACACACTTAATTTCTAGCAGAATTACACAGATACACCCATTCTCCTACATCTGTCCTAAAAATATATCTGTATAGGCCAGGCCTGGTGGCTCACACCTGTAATCCCAGAACTTTGGGAGGCTGAGGTGGGCAGAATGCTTGAGCCCAGGAGTTTGAGACCAGCCTGGGCAACATAGTGAAACCTCAGCTCAACAAAAATTACAAAAATTAGTTGGGCGTGGTGGCATGCACCTGTAGTCCCAGCTACTCGAGAGGTTGAGACGAGGATTGCTTGAGCCCTGGAGGTGGTGGTTGCAGTGAGCTGAGACTGTGCCACTGCACTCCAGCCTGGCCGACAGGGCAAGAGACACTGTCTCAAACAAAACTAAACACTTATATATGTACAAATTATGAACTCACAAGGTTACTCACTGCAATGCTGTTCTAAGCAGTATTGTCCCGTATGGTAGCCACTACTGTAAGTGGCTAGTTCAAACTCATGTGTTTTTAGTGCAAAATATATATTGGATTTTGAAGATGGTTTGAAAAATACACAAATGCAACTAAAATTTAATTCCATTTGTTTTTCACCTTTTTAACATGGTTACCAGAAAATTTTGAATTACATGTGGTTGATACTGTATTTCTACTGGACAGTGCTGGTTTAGAACACTGTTTAAGACTGGCCAGGCATGGTGGCTCACCCCTGTCATCCCACCACTTTGGGAGGCAGGGGCAGGCAGATCACTCAAGTCAGGAGTTCGAGACAGACTGGTCAACATGGTGAGACCTCGTCTCTACTAAAAATACAAAAATTAGCCGGGTGTGGTGGCGGGAACCTGTAATCTCAGCTACTCGGGAGGCTGAGGCAGGAGAATCGCTTGAACCCGGGAGGCAGAGTTTGCAGTGAGCCAAGATCGTGCCACTGCACTCCAGCCTGGGTGACAGAGTGAAACTGTCTCAGAAAAAAAACACCAACAACACTGGAAGACTAAAAGGGGACTGACTGACTAAGATAAGCCACATCCACACAATGGAATACTATGTAAGCCTAAAGAAGAATGTAAAAGTTCTTTAAATACTGATGTAAAATAAGCCTCCAGCTACTATCATGTGAAAAAAGCACAGTATGTGCCAAATGATAGAGCACGTTGCCTCTTGTTAGGGGAAAGGGAGAAAGCAACATGAATGTCTGCCTGTGCACTGATGCAATACACTGGAACCATACAAGAACCTGAAGGGTCAGCTGCTTCTGGTGGGGGAGGCAGACTTTTGACTGTATATACTCTGGTACAGTTTGAATTTAACTACGTAAATGTATCATTTATTTAATCACACATAAAAAGCATCTAGCTTTTTTTTTTTTTTTTAGACAGGGTCTCATTTTGTCACTCAGGATGGAGTGCAGTGGTGCCATCATAAGTCACTGAGGTCTCTACCTACTGGGTTCAAGTGATCCTCCCACTTTGGCCCTGCAAAGTGCTGGGATTGCAGGTGTGAGCCACCGTGCCTGGCCCACAAGAAAACATAAATCGGGAATTACACTCAGAGCAACCAACCCAACTTCTGGGGCTTGTGGGTAGGATCCTAGCACTGATCACAGAACACGGCCCCAATAGCAGGGAACACATGCTCCTTAATGCTCCAGGGAAAAGGGCAACTTTTGGTTTCTGGGATCGGCACAGACAACCAAAGGCACCAAGAGCCCACAGTAGCCAGGTTCCGTGGAGGGATGCTATTCCCGCTGTTCCCCACCCCAATCCTCACCTTGTTCTCCTCCTCAGCCAGCCTCTCAAACATATTGGCATAGAGCTTCTTCTCCCGGGCAAGCTGCCTTCTGATCCGCTGCTGGCACACAGCCAGCTGGGTCTTGGCGGCTTTGTTGTTGGGGTAGAGCTGCAGGACCTTCTGGAAATCAGCCCGTGCCAGTTCAAAGTCATTCACGGCCAGGTGGGCCTCTCCCCGGCGGAAGAGGCCCTTCTCATTGTTGCTGTCCAATTCTAGGGCCTAAAGGATGCAGGGAGGAAGCAACATCGTGGGAGCTCAGGGCTTGTAGCTCATCTGGCCAAGACTGGGTTCCAAAAGTACCCCTCAGCAGGACTGCAAATGGCTGGCTCCACCCCAGGAAGAACAAGGCCTGGGGCATTAAATGGAACAATCCAAGGTCTAGGAAGGAACGTCATTTAATCCAACAGGAAGAGAGGGAAGACAGCAGGTCTTTGGATGAAATAAAAAGACTTCAGACGTCAACATTCACTTTGGAATAAAGCAAGTAGGTAAGCGGAGAGGCTAAGAACCAAGGTGGGAGAAAACTCTTACGTGATTCTTCCCATTCCCTGTGTCCTCCTACTTCTGTGCCAACAGAAGCAGCTTCCCACCACTAAAGCTAAGGTGCTTGCTATGAATACTTGCATCTAGGCCTGTGGCCTGTAACCTCAGAGCTCCCACTGATCCACGCTGCTTTCCCTGCCCTGGTCACCAAGGGGAAGTTTCAGACATGCTGGCACTCAACTCTGCCTGTGAATGCCGCTTCCATGCCCTCTGCGGGGGCCTCACCTTGTTACAGCTTTCGATGGCCGCGGAGAAGGCCTGTAGTTTCAGATGACACATGGCCAGGTTGAGGTGAGAGGCCAGTCGAAGGGCCTGTGCCTTCTGTGCTTCCTCACTGGAAAAACTAGACTCATACTCCAGCCAGGACACAATCTTCTTATACTGTAGTAAAGCTTGCTTGTATTTGCCTTCCTAGAATGGGACAAAGGCTCAGGCACCTGGCACAGGTTCAGTGGTACCAGGCTCTTATACCCTGCAGACATCAGTGACACATGGCCACAAGAGGTTCCTGCTCCCAGCCCTCCCACTGGCAAGGCCAGCAAGCTCACATATACGAAGTGAAGATGGCAGGTGCCAACCTGTCCATTTCTTGGCAGAAAATGATCTCAGTCACCAAGGGAAGGGCAGGCTCAGAGCACCTCTTCCTGGGAGTGTCCTTAGGACAGTGACTGTTGGCTCACCTTGAAGTACACCGTGCCCCGCTCTTTCACTATGGTGCTCTGTTCCAACTTCTCTTCTGAATTCATCTCCCAAGACTCCTTGGCCTGCCACACCCCAGGAGAGAAACAGAGTTGTCAGTTACCCCAGAGTACGTACAGGGTGGAACTTGACTTTAGGTGGGAAGACCCTGAGCAAACTTACCTTTTCAAAACTCTTGAGGTGTAATTCATATTTCAGCTCGGCATTTGGTGGGATTTGGAACTTTTCCTTCCCAACACTGCCAAAAGCATAGCTGCAGGGGTGAAAAACACGACGTGTCGTCTTGGCAACACTTAACCTGCTCCAGGCTGAAAAGGCTTCCCGTCCATTTCCTGGAAAGTACCTTCCCATCCCTTGGGAGTTGGTGCAAATGTTTGGCAAATCTTCCCTTGCCTCTTCACACCATCAGATGGCCCCTCAGCATCCTTCGTACCCTTCTAATAACTTATAGCCAGGCAGCAGTGTGATTACTAATTTAAATGGCACCTCACTAAACAGTGAGCTAGAATTAGAAGGCAGAAACAATGTTCTATTAGTCTCCAAACCCCTAGGAATTTTCAGTAGTGCCTGGCACGTAGTAGCTGTTTCAGTAATGACTGAATAAATTAATGGAGAAGAAAATCTCGATGGCAGAAGAGAGAAAGTGTGGCAACTATGACTGAAAAGACTGGGCTTAGATCCAAGGAGATGTAGACAATTGTGGCCACACTTCTAAGTATACTGAGGATATCATAATGGTGTATGTTTGGTGTGGCCAGAGTTAAAAAGGATACAAACAGCTGGTTCTACAATTCATTTTATATCTTTGATCTTGGTTTGCCTGCCTTCCTACTCTACGAAGTGCCCACCCCTCACCTGGGCTTGAGGTACACAATGGAATGTTCTCCTTTCTCCATGCGCTGAATGGCCCTCTCCAGACCATAAGGCAGATCCAGGTTCTCCCCCTCGCCAATCTCAAAGCGGAGCTCCCGCTGGTCAAAGAGCTGGTCCTTGTAGTACCCTTCCAGTGCAACTGGTATGAAACAGAGGCAGTGTACCAGAGTTGTAAGAGGGCAGGTGACTGAGGAAGGATGCCATCAGCCTCCCTACATCACCCCATCACCCCAAGATTCTCCTAGCTGTGTTCTCAGATCTGGAGTGATTTAAAGAGAATATGATCCAACCCCTCATTTTATGGACAAGAAAATAGGCTCAGAGAAGGGAAGTGACTTGCCCAAAGCCACGCAAGACCTAAATATCAGAATTAGAATTGAAAGCCCAGATTGTACTGTCTCACCCTCCACGATAGCGCCCTCATTGGGCTTAGCATAGCCTTCACCGCGAGTCCGTATTCTGCGAATGATTCCGCCATCTTCCTCTTCTGTCAGATCTTCTCCCTTAAACTCAAACAACTCCACCTGTGGGACAGGATGTAACACAATTCTTTCCCATACTAACTCACGGGCAGTGAAACAGTCTTTCTCATCCGGGAGAGTCCCTACTAACTGCCAGGCCAGATCTGACCACAAGGGCAGTCACGAAGAGTTGGGTAGAGCAGCACTTTTTTGAAGTTCTTGGGGGCTGCCCTAATCTCAACTTTGGAAGAGGCGGGCAGACTACATAGATTTCAGTTAAGCTGAGGACAGCAATCTATTTGCTACCTGCTCTACTAACAGGGACATATTGGGACGCATTCCAGATAATCCTAATCCACACTACCTGATAAGCCCAATCTGGTAGGTATTAGAAATGATTACCCATCATCTCTCAGCAGTTTCTCAGTATTCAAGGGCCCACGGATTGGCTCAACCATTTTTTTTTCCTTCTTTTTTTTTTTTTTTTGAGACGGAGTCTCGCTCTGTTGCCCAGGCTGGAGTGCAGTGGCCAGATCTCAGCTCACCGCAAGCTCCACCTCCCGGGTTTACACCATTCTCCTGCCTCAACCTCCCGAGTAGCTGGGACTACAGGCGCCCGCCACGTCGCCTGGCTAGTTTTTTGTATTTTTTAGTAGAGACGGGGTTTCACCGTGTTAGCCAGGATGGTCTCGATCTCCTGACCTTGTGATCCGCCCGTCTCGGCCTCCCGAAGTGCTGGGATTACAGGCGTGAGCCACCACGCCCGGCCTGGCTCAACCATTTTCAGATTGAACAATGTCAAGTTCTATCTCCTCAGGGAAGCCTTTTCTCAGCCCTTGACCCACAGGGGAGCTACTGCTCCCTCTTCAGATCTCTAGAGCACCAATATTCTGTACTGCCACTTACAATGGGCCATCGTTTCTGACCTCCCGACTCCTTTCAGTATTCTGGGTACCGCTCTGGAGATAAAGACGTCTTAACCCCAACCATGCTTTGAGTCTGGAGAGGGTCTTGTGCCTGCCTCTTGCTACCCGAAGCTTCGGTTACTTCCATTACTAGCAGCAGCAGAGCCCTCTGCATTTCTCCTCCCATAAGGCCAGGCCCTCAGCCTTGGCTACATTGTCTCCAAGAAGCAGGAAGGGCTGGAGGGCAGCCAGGCATTGGGCTGAGATAAGGCCTGGCTCTTAGCCTGATGTCAGTGGCCGGACACTCACCTCAAATACAAGCGTGGCACTGGGGGGAATCTTTGGAGGACTGCCTGCTGAACCGTAGGCATATTCTGGTTTGCAGGTGATGTGGCACACCTCCCCCACCTTCATGGTTGCTATGGCAATGTCCCAAGCCTTGATGACCTCCCCTGCAGGTACAGAGGCAAACAGGACCACTTTAGCAGGGTTCTGATTCTGGGCTCAAACAGTGCTTCTGAAGAGTTAATGCACCACACTCATGGGGAAGCTGAACATCCTTTAGAAATGGGACCAGAAGGTGAGATACCTGGTTGCATTAAGTGCTACCAGGTCTAAGAACTGTAAAAGATCACCTGACCCTGAACAAAAGAGTTTAAGATGCAAGACAGTCCACCTTTGAAGGGGGAGTAAGGTGTTGGGAGGTGATGAGGAGAAGGGGAGACAAAGATCAGTATAGTTACAGAACGGTAGAAAAAAAAAGAGTGACCGAAAGAGTTAACAGACTGTGATAAACCATTCCTCCCTGAGCTTGGTCCTGAGAAAATGGTTTCTGCTTGTGACAGCTTGTGTCCACCTCGAACCTATCCTACCAGCCCACTGACCACGCCTACCTTTTCCCAGGTCAAAGGAGAATTTGTCCTTGCGATCCAGACTGGAGTCAAACTTTGTGCCATCTAATAGCCAGCCAGTATAGTGGACAAAGACTCGGTCCCCAATCATGGGCATCTCTGTACCTGTGCCCTCTCTCTTGATGACCTGGGAGGAAGGGGGAGAAAGTGAGTAACCCAGGGTTTGGGGCCGAAAGGGGCACCAACACTGCCTGCAAGCCTCCAGAGGGAACATAAAGGGGCTTCTCTGGGTTCACCCTCCTCTGCCTACTTGTCCCTCCAGATTCAGCTACTAGCAACTTGACTTAGGAGTCAACTAACCTCCCTGTCTTTCTTCAGGTACAGCAAGACTTGGTTTGAAAAAGGAGACAAAAGGCTGAGAGATTTGAGTTCAAGTTTCCGCTGTATGGATAAGTTTTAAAAATTCTCCACACCTTATTTGTAAAGCAGTGATGATAATCCCTATCTCCTACAGTTTGTTGGAAGATTAGACCAGTAAAGGGTTGAATAATAGATTATTATTATCATCGACAAAGGGGGAAGTATTTATGCCACACTTCCTCCTTCTTCCTCCATGCCAGTGGTCATCAGATTAAGGTCTGGTTTGGAGACAGGAGAACGAGAGGAGTATGAGTGAAGAGAACAGAAACAGTTCAAAACAGGTAAGGAAGAAACCAGGTTATAAGTGAACCCAGAGGCTCTCCATGGGACCTTAAACTCTGACTTGGGAGCGGAGTATTCCTCACTGGTAGGCTGTTTAAGACCAGGGCTGGAGTTATTTCCCAGCAACGCACAGGTTCCTTTAGCGCCACCTGGTAGGTGTGTGGTTACCCTCTAAGGGAAAGCTTCCATGGAGAATGGACAGGGTCTTGGAGGAGTAGAAAGGTAAAAGGGAAGGAATGGCGGATCAAAGGGGAAATGACCCTTCCCGGAATAACAATCTCATAGAAAACAGCAGGACGCTGGAGCGAGAAGGGGAAGCCACATGCCACAGGAGAGCCGCTGGAGCAGACGCTCGAGGTCCCCAATAATCTGGTGCAAAGACAGATGCACTTCTGGACCAGCTAAAGGCCCCCTGAGGCGGGTGCCACACACGCGGAGCTCAGCGGTGGGAAGCCAGGATGAGGAGGAGCAGCGGATGGGGAGAAGGCATAAGACGCGGGCTGGGAATTCCTCTCCGGACTCTCCCCGGAACCTGCTCCGACCCATGGCAGGTTGTCCTGGCCCAGGTCAAGATGCCCTCCCCACAGCTCCCCAGGCTATTTGTAGTCGAGCGGTCACTCGGCGGCAGGCTCCACAGCAGAGCGCCTCCTCTCCGCCCCACACCCCGCAGTCCCGGCTCGGGGAGGCGGCGGGGGGGAGGGGACTACAGCTCCCGGCATGCCCCGCGCCCGGCCTCCCCGGGGCCGAGGGAGGGGGCGCCGCGCGCGGCGAGTGGGGACCACGCTGGGTCCCGGCGTCGCCAGGGGACCCCGGGAGGGCGCCGGAACCCTGTCGCGCCTGCGTCGCACAAAGGCCGCCGGGCCAGGAAAGCACTGTGGGGAGTCGCTCCCCGTCCTGGCCCGTGTTCCACCGCCCGGGTGGGCGAGCCCTGGCACCGCCACTAACGAGGCGGCCCCCGCGGCTGGCAGCTCCGCTGGGGCCGCGGGGGTCGGGGGCGGCGTGGCGCGGGAGGCCCGGCCTGGCCCCGGGCTGCGGCTCGCGTGCCCGCGGCGGTCGCCCCGCCCCTCTCCGCCGCCCCGCGCGCGCCGGGGTGGGCACTGCAATCCCGACCCCCTGCCCCGGCCCGGGCGCTGGGGACTGGGGAGCCTGGGGCCTCGGCCCGCGCACCTAGGCCGCCCCCCTGCTGAGCGCATGGTCGGCCTCGGTGCCTCAAACGACGCAGCCCGGTACGGGACGGCGATGCCACCGGCCCCCGGCAGGACGGCCGCGAGGCTGCAGAGGCGGCCGCCTCGACCCGTGCCCGGCCGCGGGCTCCGGGCTCGGCGGAAGGGCGGCCCGCAGGGCCCCAGGTTCGGCCGCCCCCGCAGGCCCCGCCGCCCCTCACCTTCAGCACGCCTTCGTCCTGTTTGGGGCTGATGTCCACTCCCTCAATGGGCAGCGGCGCCGACTGCGCCCCGCTCTCGGCCGCCTTCATCTCCTCGGCTGTCATCTCCGCGCGGCGCGCCGTTTCTCCGGGAGCTGGCACCGGCGCGAGCGCACCCTGGGCCGCTGGCGGGGGCGCTACCTGCGGCGCGTGCGGGAGGCCGGGCGCGGCGGCACTGACTGCGGACCGCGAGGAGGCTCGAGCACCTCTGCACGCGGCGCGGGAGCGGGGGTAGGTGGGTCAGGAGCCGCTCGGGGAGCGATTGGTCCCGCCCCGCCGCGAGGGAGGGGCTGGGAGGAGCGGGAGCGCGGACAGAGGGGGCGGGGTGCAGAACTTTCTAGAGACGGCGGGACTGAGCCGGTTCGGGCTGAGTGCTGCGGGCGCTTCAGAATCTTTTTTTTTTTTTTTTCTGGTTCTTGCCTCCTTCTGGCTGCCTGCCCCCTCCCCCTTCTCCGGGGACCCTCGGACTCTGGGGAGTCTCCCCAGCGGCCTCCCCTGGCCCTTCCTCCCTCCCTCCCATCCCCGCCCGCTTCCCTGTCTAACCGGATTCTTCCAGATTCTTCTCGATCGATCTCCCGACATCACTCCACCAGTCCGCTGCGCCTGCGGCGATGTGTGGGGAGCGCGGGCGGCGGGATGGCAGTGGCGGCGCCCCCTCCCCGGGACGGGCCGTCACCACGGGCGGCGTGGTCTCTCCGCTATGACCCGCGTAGACCCTTCCCTACCTGGGGGAAAGAGGGTGAGGGCGTCCGGGGAGGGGAGAGTGAGCGGACAACGCTGCCCCGCTGCCGAGAGCCGGGGAAAGCGACCTCGATTTCCCCAGAGCCGGGAAGCCCGGGTCACGCAGCGGTGCCTACCCCGGCGCCTGCAGATGCTGCGAGCAGCGGGGTTGGCGAGGCATGGCCCGCCCAGCTCGGAACTCAGACGGGGCGCGCACTCAGGGGACCCTTCCCGGCGGTAATACAGCTGCCGTTTCTGCGAATGCTTACACACGTGGGTGCCCCTCACGAGAAAAGTCACTCGGTTTTCCAGAAGGAGTCTTTTCCTCTCAATGTTTGTTTCCCGAGTGGTTTTCGACAGCCTGTGGAGCGCGCAACTGCCCGTGTCACCTAAGCCATGGTCGTGGGACCTACAAAGCCATCTAGAGAGGGGCCTGGTTTTGGTCAGCACCTAACCCCAGTTTAGCATAGTGCCTGGTGAGTGGTGTCCAATAGTTACTGGCTGCATGAATTTTCCTTTTTTAAATTAACTTTTCCAAGTCTTGGCTGACTTTTTTTCTTTCTTTCCTTCTTTTTTTTTTTTTTTTTTTTTTTGAGACAGGGTCTCGCTCTGTCTCCCAGGTTGCAGTGCAGTGGTGCGATCTTGGCTCTCTGTAGCTGGGACGACAGGCGTCCACCACCGCACCCACTAATTTTTGTATTTTAGTTTCGCCATGTTGCCCAGGCTGGTCTCGAACTTCTGGTCTCAAATGATCCGCCCGACTCGGCCTTCCAAAGTGCTCGGATTACAGGCGTGAGCCACTGCGCCCAGCGTGAATTTTTATTCCAATAATAATTATATTTTTGGACTTCCCGTTATGTGCCCGGCACTGTGCCGTTGTACGCCATTGTCTCATCAAACTAAATTGAAAGCTTTTTAGAGATGAACTTTCAGCATCGTAATGTGATGATTTATTGTAGTCCCTGCCGAGGGAACTTGAAAGGGATGCAAAAGAAACAGCCCTTCGCTCAGCGATTTACAGTACAAATGAGTTGAGCCCTACCGACATCTCTTTAGGTGACTGGAGACAACTTCAGAGGATTCGGGGCGGGGGGCGCTGCCTCTGTAGGGGTTCAATCCATTACTTTTCTGCAGAAGTAACAGTGCCAGGGGCCACCCAAACTCCGGGAGACGAGGATGGTGGGTGCTCGCTTCCGGGGTAGCAGTTTACCGCAAACTGTCCTTGGCTTGCACCTACTGATATTCCACGTGTGGCGGTTTCTTTTCTGCGCCTTTTTCTTCATCGGAAGCAGACAGTGTAGGACCCCTCCTTTAATTCTGTCCAGCACATCCTTAATGGAGCCCTTCAGATTGCCTGCCTAGACATTAACACATAGCCTACTACCCTAGTGGAATGAACATGTGCTTTGCAGTAAGGGGAGTTGGGTGACCCATGTGTTATGTGAGCTGTTTAATTTGGGGCAGGTTAGTTAATCTTTATGTCTCGATTTCTTGTCTGTAAAATAGGGATAGTAACATTTGTAAAAGAGGGCGATTTAATGGTTAAAAACAGGGAATCTGTGTAATGGTATCTAGCTAGCACATTGCTCGCCTCCAACTCCGCAGTTGGTAAATAACGGTCGGTAATGTGATCTGATAGGCGCTGCGGTGGAGATGGGGACAAAGGGCTAAGAAAACAGAGGTCTGTGAGACAGGGAAGGGCATGAGGACAAGGTTCCCAGTGAGAAGCTCTGTCCCCACCCAGTGAAGGAGGAAACTAGGGGATCACAGGCATTGGGGTCTTGAATCCTGGAGCGGGAACTTACTGTTTCTCTTAGAATATTTCCATGTCGTTTATGTGATATTTTTCTGGTCATAAAAAGTACACATACTATAGAAAGTGTGCACGTGTTTTAGTCTCTTTCCTCTATCTCCTCACCCTTTCCCCAAGCCATTTAAGTTAGTATTCTCATTAAAGATGTTTAACTGGTACCACTCGAAATTCTTCCAAAATGTCCACTTTTTTTTGCAGAAGGAAGTCAGCACACTTTTTCTCATCCACCTTATCTGTAGGTAACTCCTGCTGGGATCGGAAACTTTGTTCTTGTCACAGGGAACCTCTTAGAGCTGACCTGGCTCAGATCCCAAACTCTGGGCCCATCATTTACACATCAAGACCCCTTGTTTCTACAGTTCATATTTTGACCTTCCTAGGCTGCCAATGCACTTAACATCCAAAGAATTATATAATATTTGGATCGTTCAAAAGACTCTGAAATGTATATAGGTGTGTGTGTGTTCATGTATGCGTACATGTTATGCAGCATACCGGTGCAGTGAAACCTGGAAATCTGTCACCCAGCCCGAGTTAGAACGTTCCCAGTATAATTTGTCAAAAATGTAATGCCAAAAAAAAAAAAACCAAAAAAACCCATTAAAGACCTTTACATTTTTTCTTTTTTTTTTTTTTTTTGAGATGAAGTCTTGCTCTGCCGCCCAGGCTGGAGTGCAGTGGCCCAATCTCAGCTCACTGCAAGCTCCGCCTCCCGGGTTTACGCCATTCCCACGCCTCCTGCCCCGGCCTCCCGAGTAGCTGGGACTACAGGTGCCCGCCACCACACCCGGCTAGTTTTTTGTATTTTCAGTAGAGACGGGGTTTCACCGGGTTAGCCAG